TGGCTAAAAAAATATAATCCTTTGATAGATTGGATTTCTTGTAAACTTGAATTTTTTCAAAGCATTATTAAGTTATTTGTAGAAAGCCATGAATCTAATATAGCCAAACCTGTACTTATATATGCAAAACTTTCTTCCATACTACAAAAGAAAAATTATCTTTTGTTATTTATGCTACACCCATTTTTAATGATGGAAAGACCTCATGTAGCATTCTAAGTCAATATTAAGATATTTAAGTTGTTTTTGAAAAACAAAATATAAATATTTTTTAGGAGCATTGTCTTTATGATTGCTCAATTGACATTAAAGAGGGAAGTTAGCCACTATTTGGTCCAATCTATAATTTATTACAAAATGAGTTAATTAAATTCAAGAAGTATATTGATAAGAACTTGGCCAAGAATTTCATATGCCATTGAAAATCTCTTGCAGAAGCTCCTATCTTATATGTGAAGAAAAAAAATGGTTACTCAAGTTGACTTCTTAGGATATATCATTACTAATAAAGGACTTATGATGGATCTAAAGAAGATTTAAACTATTATAGATTGAAAGATTTCAAGAATAGTAAAAAAACATATAATATTTTTTGAGCTTTGCTAATTACTATTGGATCTTTATCAAAAACAATTTTTAAGTGGCAACTCTTCTTATATGTCTTACATGCAAAGACAAACTTGATTGGAGTAAAGAAGTTGAAGCATCTTTTAAAGCCTTGAATTTGGCATTTATTTCTACACCAATTTGATATTGTGTTAATTTTTTCAAGGTATTTTTTATAAAAACAGATATATCTAATTTTTCTATAGGTGTTGTTTTGTTAGAAATATGAGAAGATGAAAATTTCTACCTAGTAGATTTCTATTTCTAGAAATTCTCTATAATCAAGATTAACTATGAGATCTATAACAAAAAACTTCTTGCAATTATGGATTCTTTTCAAGAATGGCGTTATTATCTAGAAGACACTTTCAATCCAGTCATTATATATACGGATTATAAGAACCTTGAGTATTTCATATCAATACATATTTTGAACCGTTGCTAAGCTTATTGGAACATATCTTTGTTAAAATTTGAATTTAATATTACTTATTGGCGAAGAAAATAACAAGGTTTGTGTGATGTCTTTTCTAGATATTTTTAACTTGTACCAAAAGAAAAAAATGTAGTTTTTGATCAATAAAGAATAAATTTATTGAAGCTGGAATAATTTTATCTTTGAGTAGTGAAATTAACATTAATTATTAATTCAACTTTTCTTAAGCAAATTCAATCAAATATGTCCTCTGATCCTCTTATTTATAATATCAAAAATATTTTTTTTAAATCTTATAATACTTCCAACTCCAAATTTAAGAACAACTTACTTTATTTTGAATGACGCCTATATGTTTCAAAAAGAGAAGTATGATTACATCTTCTTTAAGCACATCATGACTTTCTAGCAGTAGGACATTTTAAATACAATAAGACTTTAGAACTAATATCCAAAAAAATTTGGTGGCTTTAAAAATGGAAGGTTGTAAAAGACTTTGTTCAATCATGTGATATTTATTCAAGGTCAAAAACTCCTCATCATTGACCTTATAGACTTCTTCAGCCATTACCTATTCCAAAATAACCATGGTCTTTTGTTTCTATGGATTTTATTATAGATCTTCCAATCTAAGATTCATATGATTCTATATTTGTGATAATAGATTGTTTTACTAAAATGACATATTTTATACTATGTAAAAAATATATCACATGTGAAAAAACTCCCAAGCTTTTCCTTAACTACATCTATCAGTATCATAGATTAGCAAAAGATATTATATTGAATAGAAGGATTCAATTTGTATTAAGATTTTGGAGAAGCCTTTTAAAAATTTGAAAGGTGGACATAAAGCTTTTATTGGCCTTTCATCTTCAAACTAATAGACAAACGGAGCATATAAACCAAGTTTTAGAAAAATACTTAAGGTGTACCATCAATTATCAACAAGAAAATTGGACAACCTTCTTCCCATTGGCACAGATGCTTATAATAATATATTACATTTTTTTATGTAACAAACACCTTTCTTTGCAAATTATAGTTATCATTCATAACTTTATACTTTTTACTTTTAAAAAGTTGATAATCTTACAATGAAAGATTTGGCAATTCGTTTGTCAGAGCTACATATAACAATAAAGGCACAATTAAAGGAAGTTCAAGAACAACAAAAGTTCAACACAGATGCCTATCAAAAAGAACAATCATAATTCAATGTAGGTGACAAAGCATAGTTACTTTGTCATAATATCAAGACTACTTGTTCTTGTGATAAGTTGGACTATTGCACGCTTGTACCTTTTCTTATTTGTAGATAAATCAATCCAATTGCTTATTGAATATATCTATTGGAGTCAATGAAGATTCATCTTGTATTCTATGTATTTCTTCTTAAATCATATAAGATTGTAAACATACCAAGAAGAAAACAAGTTCTACTTTGTCTTGTAGAAGTAAAGAATAATTTAGAATTTAAAGCAAAAGAAATTTTAGACTCAAGGTGGTGCCAAAATAAGTTAGAATATCTTATTCATTTGAATGGATATGGTATTAATAAATGTATATGGAAGCTAACAAAAAATCTTGCAAATACAATAAAGACAATGGAGGCTTTTCATCAATGACATCTATCAAAATCAAGATGAAAAATAATAAGTCTTTGCTATAAAAGAAAGAAGATCTAGAAAAAGATTACATTCTACTTTCTATCTTTGTTTGTAGTTTCTGTATAATTGTGACATTAAAAAGATGAAAAATCAATAGCCAACAGATTCAACTCAAGAGCCATCATTTGCTGACTTATCAGATAAAATATTATGATTGTCACAACCTTGAAGATGACGTAATAGAGATGAAGACCTTCAAAAATGACATATTATTTCTCAAATAGATGGCAAAATATAATGCATTTGGTATCACAACTTGAGAAAAGACTTTTAATGTTTGGTGATTTAATTGGATGTAGGCATAACTCCTGATGGTGTTACAAATATTTTACTTGAAAGAAGTTATAAAGGTTTCAACAATGATCAAATAATAGGGTAGTCTTCCCATCTTAGAATGGAACATTACCAATGGCTGAGAAGACCTATCAAAGGGAAGAAAGATCAAAGTACATAGCAAATACAATTTATTGCATCTTAGACTTCTTCAATATATAATTACTATTGCTTGTAGAACTTGACTTTAAAAGAAGAAGGAGTATTGTCACACATATTTATATCTATTGTAATTATTACTTAGGTGATGTGAATATATAGAATTAAGTAAAAATAAATTAATTTTGTAATATTTTCTAAAAAAACTTTCTAGAAGCTTTTTAAACATTGTTTTGATTTTATATGTATTTGTATTTGATTTGTAGATTAGAAACTTTGTCAACAAGCTAACCACATGCCACATATGTTAATAGCTTGCGAAATAAGCTAACTATGTGGCACCCATATAAAAAACTTGTCTTACAAATTAAGATACATGTCATACAAAGTCAATCATTTTTAGAGGTCTTATAGAATATCGCCACATAGATCTTAGGTAGATAATATATATAAAGGCAAAAGTGAAGCCTTCTTCATTCTTATCAATTCTTTTCTTATTTCTAATATAGTTTCAAAAGTCTCTAGTTTCCTTATCTTTTGGCAATAATCATTCCAGTTTTCTTTTTAATATACAGACTTCTCTATTTCTATTCTTTTGAAAGAATTTGACTTATTGATTTGCTTTCATCAAGTTCTTGTCCTTGACATGCAATTAAAAAAAGTGATTAATGCTTAATTTATTATAATAGTTTGGATAACCAACATAATATATTATAATTTTTTTTTTTAATGTTAGTTTGGACCATATGTTGTAATGAGAGTCTATAACAATGGTATATACTTGTTATAGGAGCTTGATTGAATAAAATTGAAGATATTTATAATATACAAGCAAATCAAGTTATTTAGATAAAGAGATGTATATATTTATTATTATGAAAAGAAAAATCTATTAAGTTATATTAAAATAGGTGTAGAAAACGAATTGAAGACCAAGAATTTAACTAAGATGAAAAAACGTCTTACATCAATATATTGAAGAATGATTTATATATGATAGATGATGCATAGGTTTAGAGGAGGTAGATGTTGTTTTGTAATACAACTATTAGATGAAAGAAAAAATAAGGATTATATTATAGAAGAACTTAAATAAAAATATTATAACAAATTATCTTACAAATATAAATAATAGATAAGAAGGTAGTAAAAATTAATAAGTATTTATATTATCTTTTTTATAAAAATGACTTTTATTTATATTGGAAGGCCATAAATGAATCAAATTAAAATGTATAAAAAAATTAATATAAACATCTTTAGAAAAAAAATTAGGAATAGTTTTTAGCAAAAATTACCTTATGAAAATAAGAATTGATACATAGGGAGAATTGGTTAAGAACTATAGTCAAAATCAAATCCTAAGATACAAAATTGTGCATGCACAACAATTTAGAGGTTTTTTGGTTAATTAGAAGGCTAAACTTGACATCAGCCTAGAAATAGGTTCTTTGGACATTCATCTCAAGTGATTTGAGTTTGTAATGATTTTGTGAAAACTTTGCAAAGTTAGGATTGTTTTGTGGTGACTCTAGGTTTTAGAGAATTGAATGAGACTGATAGATAATCTATTGTGTGATTGATGTTGTGTTGAATTTGTATTGTAAGTTTAAGCTTGATCTAATAGTTGACTCAAAGATTATTGAATTTCAAATGTAATGGCTCTCAAACTTTGGTGGCAGTCCGAGAGAGGCGTTGGTTAGTAGAGGACTTGTTGTTTCCCTTTTCACAAGTAGAGGAGTGGGGCTATGGGTGTTTCTGAGGTCTCCCATGTGTACATGATGGGCCGTATCTAGCAGGCGATTGAGGTTCTGCGACTCTGACGACGTTGGAGCTTGTGAGGTGCAGAGAATGTGAATTGTGGCAAGGGTGTGACTTAGGCCCGCCGATGGTCATCGTTACGATGGCATTTAGGCATGTCGTGTGGGATGGCGTGGGGCGCCTGTAATCACTGGGAGGTCGACGTCATGTGCTAGGTGTGTTTTCGAAGCTGTGATGTTGTTCTTGGTGGAGAGTCCTGACGGGTATCTTTTGGCGTGCAGGGAAACTGGACGAATGTGCGTAGTGTTGTTGGTACGGGGAGCAAGAAACAGGTCTTTGTCTAGGATCGAGCGCGGACAGGAAAATGAGTCAAGATAAGAACGATTGGCTGAAGAGGACGTCGACCTTTTCGCGAATCATGAACCCTGAGCTGCACACGAAGCCCAACCTGATGGTGGGGGCCATTGGCACGGGTGTGTTTGTATTCCCTGTGGGCAGCATGTATATTCAAAGGCAGGCGATGTTACAAACCCCGAAGGTGGAGCGTGTGATGAAGGAGAACCTGTCGTAGACATTCTTGTATGGAGAAGGCGGGATGCGTGGGTGCGGCTTTTGATATTGATTTCGGGTGCTGGTGTTAGCTTTAGGGGATTGCAGTGAACGGGGCGTATGTCATGGCGAGTTGGGTGCGTAGATTTGTGGTAGTTGTGTTTGTGCAGTGTTGTTTTCTGGTAAGCTCCAGTTGGACGGAGGAGCTCGGATTATGTGGAAGATCAGGTATGGTGTCTTTTACCATTCCATTTGCTGAATGACGACCGTCGCGCTGGGCAGTGTGAGTAGAAAGGAAGGCAGTCTGTGCACTGGAGCTGGCAGTATGGACGCCATTTCGAATTGTGAATGAGTTGGAAGTGTGGAATATAAGTGCTGTGTGATTGTGATCCGTGCACTGGAGCACGTGGTTGGTTTGAGAGCCGCAGACGGGTAGTTGGCGAAGTAGCAGGATGGTAGATGACGAGGGTTTGGCGTTGTTTGTGTCTGTGCGGCGAACAAGAGCAGTTGTGCCGGAACACTTTCGTGAGCATCGTGAGGCGGTCGGCACTGGGTAGAAAGTGTGAGTCTTGGTTTGTGTGGAAGTTGTTGATTTGCCGAGCAGCTGGTTCATTTCACAACGGGTTTGTAACTAGTGGTTGGTTGGGGTTTGGAATTGGTATCGTGTGGGGATGTCAGTTGTGAGGAACCTGACGGAACTAGGACAGGACAGCTATGGGAGGCCTGGGCTGATGCACATGACCATTGCTGGGGCCGTCCATCACGGCATGAAAGAGGTATGAATGTGAGGTTTTTGAGGAGTCTGGATGGGGATGGATTGCGACGGAAACGAGCTCTTTTATGCACGTCGATGCGGTCGCCGGCGTTTGTGGTTGGTGATGGAGATGAGTATAGGTGCTGAGTGGTGGGTTTGCGGAAGAGGACTGATGTTGAGGGTGATGGAATGAGTTGGTTTTGGTGGACGCGAAGTTGGAAAGCGTCGGGCACAGTGTGCGTATGATATGGATGTATGTGGTATTTGGTGCAGATGGAGGTATGGATGCAAACGTTCGCTCCGAACTCCGGAACACCGATTCATCGGCATGAATGCGAAGAGGTTTTCATCACACTGAAGGGTCACGGAACCCTGTATCTCAGCCGAAGTCGCGAGCTGGATGCTCCTGGAGAGCCGGAGGAGTTCCAGATATACCCAAATGCGACGTTCACAATTCCAGTGGATTCGGTGCATCAGGCAACTAGACTGGAACCTATTTCCTTTGGTAGAGTCGATGAGAGTGGATTTGTGAGGAAGTTGCGGATTGCAGTGAGATTGGATGGGATGTCGACAGGTGCGAGGATAGCACTGGTGTTAGGAACGTCAGAGGTAAGGAAGATGGAGCTGAATGGATAGCAGGATAACGCGAATGTGGCAGTATAGAGGAGGTTGAGAGAGGTAGCAGTGATGTGGGAAGTTTGAATGGTTGACGCAAGGGTCATGAAACGTGAAATGCGGGAGTGGTGCAGGTGAGGAACACGAATCAAGGCGAAGATCTGCAGGTGGTCGTGACCATCTCCAGGCCTCCCATGAAATCGTGAGATTCCCAACGGTGCATGCTTCTGTTTCAGCTGTGTTATATATTTGCACGTGCTTTGGATGGACTGGCAAGCAATTCAGTGAGTCGTTTGATGTTGGGTTGTGTGGGGCATTTGGAAGTTGGCGGGGTTGTGATTGTGTTGCGACGATAGTGAGGCATGCGGGAAGTAAACTGGAAGGTGGGATGTGTGGGACAGATTCATTTACAAGGAGTGGTCTACTCCCCACGCCGAAGCAGTATACGAGCCAAGAGAGTGGGATAAGGAGGACAAGTTGTCGAGTGCATCGCAGCAGTGCAAGGAGCCTGAAGCAGAGGATGATGTGATGGCAGACATTGCGAAATTGCTCGGTAGGAGCATTGAGGACATTGTGGTGTCTGATGAGATAAGGTAGTGCAGGTGGTATGAGGTTTTGTAGCGCAGTTGTGGGAGTGGAGACGCTGCGGCGCGGTCGGTGGGATGGCTTGTGTACCGGGGGATGGGAATTGGACTGGTGGGCAGATAGCGGCTGAGTGCAGGGAGCAACTAGTGCTACCAGGAAGCCTGTGTAATGCAGTCGAGCGCCGGACCGAACACGGTGTATGTGTCGGGGAGCGCTTTTTTGACGATTATTGGGGCGGTGGACGGAGATGCGGGGAGTGTTGCGTGTATGTGAAGACGCTTTGAGGGCCATGACGCGGTTGTGAAGTTAGTCAGAGGAACCCGAAAGGATAGGTGGTAGGAATGTGGCTTGTATGTGTCCGAGTAGTGGTGGGTTAGAGTTTCAGTGAGGGGCGGAAAGAAGTACCTGCGAGTGGGGAACGGTTCATCCTTTCTCCGGTATGAGGTGTGAAAGTAGGAAGGTTCATTAAGTATGTTTTGTTTGGATGTTATTAAGTCGCATTAACTGCTCAAATATATCCTCATTTGAAGGGGTACAGCGAAGCGTCTAGGACTGTGTACCATGGAGGTTTGACTGATCGTAACAGGCACAACTGTGAGTCAACTGAATAAACGGTGCTGCACTTACTTGACTATCATCTAAGGTATGTCTTATTATCCGGTCTTGAGCTGCATCAGGTATGAACATGGAAAGGAATTGTTGAAAGTCATGCGTGTCCCCCCCTGCATCAAATGCTTGAAGGCGAAGTGAATCCAGTGAGACCATGTGCATGAGCACAAATGTAATGCTTAGGCTTTGGCAAGATTTTGATGAGAATGTTTGCTTGCCGACATGTTGGAGGTTGGAGTATATTCGAAACGGAAGATTTGAGTCTCCACTGTCTGAGTTGAGAAGTGATACTATGTTTTGATGTGGTTAAATTTGTGATGAAATTGAGGGTTTTTAGAAAGTGCCATATATGATTGGTCAGTGCTGTATAAATCACAGGACTCTTGACCGACATGGCCAGTTTCAAACAGCAAGGTTTGCAGCCACAGTCCTTCTTTTGTTATTGTAGTGGGAGCAACATGTTTGGCCTCTAGTTGAGACAATGCCACAATGGGTTGCATTTGGCTGGAAGTAGATGTCAGATTGCCAATAAGTATATATCATACAGTGGTCTTCTAGTGGCAAGATCGCTCACTCAACCTAAATTGGGCAAGTGTTCTTAATGATAAATGAGTCGAGTACAAAGAACTTGAGTATGGGAGTCCAGTGCTAAAAATTTTCTTTAAATTATGCAGAAGTTGTTTAAGTGTGGCCTATTGTAAGGGGCCAGGTTGGGCCATGAATTAAGCCAAATGATTCATTGGGAAGGTAAGGTCATAACGTGTGCATTTGATTAAGTAGTGGAGGGAACCAAGTATTTGTGAATATGGAACAATAGTCATGAGTTCAAGTTCAAGTTTAATTGAGGAACGATTTTTGTTTAAGTTCTTGGAGTACCAAAAATTGGCTTTCAAAGGTGCAGCAGTGGGATTGCAATTAGACATATCAAAAATTTCATAGCACAAATTTCAAGGATGTCACCAATATATTTGATTTGTGATGAAAGAGGAGTTTGAGTTGATTGGTTTTGGTTTACTTGAATTAAAGAAAATACTCAATGTCATTGTTGTTAGTAATAGAAGAGTGTTGTGAAATCAAAGATTTATAAGTTGTTGAGGATGTAAGGTTTTTAGATATGAAAACTAAGTTGTGAATGTAGAGACCAAAAGTGGATAAATTGAAGGTTCAATTGTTTAAAATAAATATTAGGATTTGAAATTCATTTGATTGTAAAGAATATAGATAAATAAGTCCAAACATCTATTAGTAGAATTGTTTTGGAAAATAGAGAATCAATAGTTCACATATTTGCATTAAAATTTGTTTGTAGAATTGGCAAATAATGCACTTAGCTTGTTTTAATTTTTGTAAAATTAAAATCAAAATAAAGCTCCTAATGATTCATTTTTTTTTTTTTTTTTTTTGAATAAATCACAAGATATGATGTTTATGATGCTAAACTTTGAAAGAGATTCTTGAGGCTTAGTAATATTGTTGAAGTTGGATTATTGCCAAAGATAAAATTTTGAAGAATATAAATAAATAAGTATGATGTATATTGAAGAGAAATGACATAAAAAAAATAAGTATGTAAATTCCTAAAAAAATTAGAATGACTTGTCAAAAATAAGAAATCTAGAAACTCTTTTATCTAAATTAAAAACAAGACAGAAATTGACAAAAATAATAAAATTCTCATTCTACATCTATATAATTTTTAAGAAGCTTCTCAACAAGATGATAATAATTTATCTTACTTCTATCCAACTCTTCTATTTAATCAAGTAAATATACTATTAATTATAGATATTTGTGATAATATCATATTTGATAGCATTCAAAATGTATTGTTTGAAGATAGTTATGAAAGCTCCAATAATGGTGAAATAATTGAGTGATCTTTTGTCTTAACATAACATAATATAGATGGATTTAAGAACCTATGAACTACCTTTTTGCACAATATTGGTTGTAGTTTGTTGCAAACACTATTCAACAAATCTTGATCTTTGTCAAGTTCTAAAACTACTTGATTATTCTTTGTGAAACTTGTCTTTTTAAAAGAAATTAATGTAACAAATGTCTATATTACTTGAATAAATAGAAGTAAATAGAAGCATGTTGTGTAGAGTACATCTTTGTCAAAAAATAATAATAAAGCTTTTTGGATGTAGATTAAATTTTGAGATTGTCTTAGACATTTTATACTACAAAAGTAACTTGTATTATAAATTTCAAGAAATGGTTGTAGAAATAACCTACAACTTGGATGATTAGACTTCAAACCTTTTAATGCTTATGAAGTTGATATAGACACTTCTTATAAATTAGTATATATAAAGATAAGAATGTGACCATTTTTAATCTTATCAATGCTCTTATGTTTTAGTGTTAGTTAATAACTTAGTTTTTTGTTTGACAACAATCATTTTAATTTGTTTTTATCTTTTATTTACATTTCTTCTTTGGTTCCATTTTTTTTCTTTATAAGTAAGTTGTGTTTGTAGAATTTTTCTACAATCATATCTTAAATAACATCTTGTATTTACACATTTTTGCATTGTCAAATGTCCCACCTCTCAATATGATTGTCTTTTATCTTTTACAACCCCTATTATTTGACTTATAAATTTAGCAAATTACATCTTTGTTTCTATGTACTAAAAGATCTTTTTTTGTAATACAGAATTGAAGAACCGATCACCAATTCCACATCTTACAATCCAACCACCAAAGCTTTTGTACTCTGACCGATACCACAACCTCATCAATAAGCAAAATCTGCACAAATAAATGGTCTCCTTTTTTTCAAATGAAAGTCCTATTTGCAACAAGTATTCACATGTTACCTTTACCTCTCTTTTCAAGATTTTCCTTTCCCAAACCCCATATTCCATGCCAACCGCATTAACCAAGTCAAGTGCCCTTTGTTGTCATGGTTGTAGACTCAGCTACATTCATGTTTGCATAACAGTGGTTTATTCAAACATATCTGACATGGGTTTGCAGATGACTTGCAAAAGGTTCCTCTCCTACTTGGATTGCTCCCAGACATGCATTTGTAGATATGCAGCATCTACTCCAAGTCGGTGGTTCTGTTCTGGTGAGCGAGATCCTCATTTCCAGTACCTCCGGACACAATCATCCAAGTGAAGTTTCTACCTCACAACATTCTAAGCAGGCTGGTCCGTCAGGAGCACCGCATCACTCAGAGTCAGTTCGTCTCGGTGCTCACACGGAATTGAAGTCCTTATTACTCGGCACCATGTTCTGGTGCACAACAGATTACGCTGCACACACTTCTCCGACTGGCCTCTGCTGCTCCGTATACCTGTGAAGATGCCGCATCTGAGCAATACAATACAACCACACTAATCTGATCCACCTACATCTGCATCGTACAACACTTCTTGCGCCAATTACTTCTTGTTGCGTGGAGTCTATCCAAGTCGCCATGTTTTTCTTCAACAATTGATGATAGTATAAAGCAAATACTCTCTCTCAAACCCATCCACTCGACCGGGGGGATACGTAAACTAGGGCTGCTTTTCGAAAAAAAAGACCACCCCGCGTAGCCCAAAAAGAAGCTCCTCAATTCATCTGGAAATCGACCTCCTCGCCTTTGCTGCTACACCAACAAGAGCAAATCCTCGTCTACACCTATTCAACTGACGATGCCCCATATTCTACGTCGCACATCTGGAATGCTTCCAGCATCTCACCTGCGGGGCATGTGTCAACAATTCCTACTATACTCTACATCCTGAATCTAAAGAGACCCTTACACAGAAGATCCCACACCTTACGGTGCCTCCTTGGTGGCATCGTCGAACACCGACGAGCCAGTGTCCTCGGACCCGTCCACCTGGTACTCGATAGCCTCTTTGAACACTTCGGTGTTCTTGAAGTCCGTGGCGCCCAAATTGTACGTTCGAACTGCCGTGATACACGCTACGATCTGCAAAACATGAGCGCCGAGAGCAATCAAATTCTCTGTCACGACGTTAGGTTGATGCCAAATTTGGACAGGTCTATCCACGACGACCAGCGAAAGCACCCCCCGCTTCTATTTCTTGGTGACCCCCTGTCCCCGGCTAGTTTATCCAGCCCTGAGGGTGACGGGGATGTGCCAAGCGCCCTGTAATTCGCTTCCAACACCATGGTGCGAAAACAAATTGCTGGGAGTACTGCCGTGATGCGACCTGGGTCGTTTCTATTCCAACTCTACGGTCAAGCCCGAGTGTCCAGACCAGCCCCCCCAGGCGGAATCTCCGCCCAGCATGCGCAGATAACGTCGCTCTAACGACTCAATATTGAAGAAAACAAGGCCGTGCATAGAAAGAGCCCCTTCCAGTACAAAATTCGTGACGACCAAAAACCTTCCCCAAGTGGTAACACAGACGTACCGATACGACGACGCCGAACACCCACAAGTACTGCATCGCGAAACCGAGCGAATTCCATGAAGAGCCCTCCCAGAAGTCCGGCTCCTGACCCTCCAGTTTGGCGCATGCCTCCTCGTACGCCTTGAGCTCTGCGGCTGACATCTCGGGCTCCTGTGGCGTCACGGCGACGCCCTTCCTCTCGCCGGGCACATTCGTGGCGTTCCTGGCGTTCCTGGCGAAATGGGCGAGATGCAGCGAACCCAAGTGCCGGGTAGAGGTGAGGAGATGAGATTGGTGGCGACGGCCGGGGATCAAACAGAAGACGGGCGTGGCGGAGAAGAGAGCTGAGAAACGGGGCAAGGCAGGCGGGGGAGGGGTGGGAGAGAGCAGGCGGGACATTCCCGTGGTGGCGGGCATGGCAGCCATGGCTGCTGCTGCTGCTGGGTTTAGTGCAACGAAGGCCAGCACCGCAGCAGAGTCTGAGAATTTGTGAGAGAGAGTGAGAGAGACGCACACACTCTCATAGCGAGACGCCCAAAACTATCCCCCCCCCCCCCCCCACGGATATGGATGAATGCCTTCGACGTCGCATCCTCTACTTTGTTCATCCATCCCATCCCATCTACGACTTCTTTCCGATGCTCTGGTTTCTTGCAGGGGAAGG